CTTGACTAATGTGACCTTCCAGAACTAATGCTATGCTTGATTGATATATATGTACAGTGGTGTGAAAAAGTGTTGGCCCCCTTCCTGATTTCTTATTTTTTTGCATGTTTGTCACACTTAACAGGGTTTTGTCAAATACAGTCTACAGTTTCTTTAAAGTTTACCAAAAGAAGTAACATAAAAGTAGATATTTTCTTACCCAAGACAGATAGATGAGTACTTCTGTTTCCATACTGGTACTCAGAGCTTATAATGCTGTGTACATCATGTACTTTTCTTTCTTTTATTGCACAGTAATACAATCCCTCATCAGAGACACTGGCGTTTGTAATATGTAGATCATAGGAGTTACTGGAGCTGTTGAACACTAAACTGAAGCGTGGAAACATCCCAGTGAACAGGTTTCCAGACTCTATTAACAGAGATGGTTGATGCTCATGTGAGCAGTTTCTCCACCAAGCAATGTGTGATCCAAATGGTATGACACAGTCACAGTACAGAGTGATGCTCTCTCCTGCCTTTACTCTTATGTTCAATTGTGTCCCAAACACTCTCTGCTGTTCACAGAACAAAACACCTGCAAAAGCAGATACACGTTCAAAAACAAGAAAGATGACTATCAATCAAATCAAATGAATGCAACAAATAAAGACAAAAATGGACTTACATACAAGCGTGACGACAATAACTATCGCTCGCTCCATCTCAGTGACTGATAAAAAAAAAGCAAAGGGTCTTCAGTGTAAATGTCGCCCGGCTGACTGTGGTGGGAGGGATTTCTGATAAAGGGCTTTGATATGCTTAGAGGTTGGGGATTTTTTCTTTTGCTTAGATTAAGGGGTTTATTAAATTCATTAGTATTTAAATTTGTACACATTATGTTGATCGTCTGGTTGTTAAAGAAAGTTTGATTCTCTCAAAAACTCTCAAAATAAAATTGTCCAAAAAAAATTTGTATTCTAATATAAAGGGATCTTTACAATTATTAATTTAAAATCAAATGTATCAAATGTTATATTGTTGTCAGCACATCACAGAATATCATTTGTGCCTATCAGTTCATGTCTAACTGAAGCTGAATTGATATGCTGTAACTAGCAGAAACATGTTGAGGTTTAACTGTCGTTATAAAAGTCCTTAGAAGAATTTCAGAGGTAACGTTGTTCAAGCAGGCCATAACAGGAAACCTACTGTCACATCCTGTTATACAGGTCACTTCTAAAACTATAGCAGTGAACTTAATTGATTCCTCTTTCTTTAGTGAAAGTCAAAATGTTCGTTTTGGCCTGAATTCACTAAATGTGTGCATGTTTTTTGTGTGTTTTTGTGAGAATGTATTTAACTGTGATGTGTATTGCTCTGTAGCCTGATAAAATGTACATGGATGTTTCCGTAACCACAACCTCTACCCACATATTTTTCCATTCAGGTTTGTCATGTAAACTAAACAAGCTCTAAATGTATACACTGGTGCAGTGAGATCGGAAAGTTGTGGTTTTCCTGTTTCCACATAAATCGATTTAAACTCCCCTATTGAATTGTTAGTTTTAAAAAACAGTATCAGCGGGTTAAAAATTTAACCTCAAATGCAATTGATTATTATAATATATATAGATTATTATTATAATAATAATAATTAAGTCATTATAGCTATATATTAACACACACACATTTAAAAAAAAAAAAAAACTGTAACAACCACTGGAAACATTTGTGGTTAAAAAACATAAAAGCATGATTTACCACTTACAAGAACCCGTGAACAGCATCAAATCATCAAAAGATTCTGGAAAACACCCTTTCTGATAGATCAAACATTTCTAAAATTGGTAAGAAAAATGCAGACAAACTAGAGAGTTTCATGACACTAAATAATTAATGCTACCAGCCAACAAGGTGGTTGGTCATTCAAAATAATGACATAAAAAAAATGTAATTTAGATGTTGTGTCAAAACTTCCACTGATCAAGATGAGACCATTTTAACTACATATCTCTGGAAACAAAAATAGGTCTAGGGGTGTGTTTGCGAATGTCTTATTTTTTATTTGCTATTGCTTCAGGTCATATGGTTGAAACATTTTCAATATTATTCTTTATCTAAAATATTCACAGACATTTGTTGTCATTAATCATGCAAAGTTTGGCAAATCCAGACACTAATTTTGCCTCAAAAGTGTTCACTGTATCAGCCTGGTTATTTTCAAAGTGATAAAGATCTGTAAACCCCTGACTGCTGGAATGTACATTTCCAGCAATGTTAACCAATTTGATTAAAGGAATAGTTCACCCAAAAAAGAACATTTCCTGACAGTGTACTCATCCTCAGGCCATCCAAGATAGGGATAAGCTTGTTTATTCTGAAGAGATTCACTTGCTCAGCAATGGATCCTCTGCAGTGAATGGGTGCTGTCAGACAGAGAGTTCAAACAGCTGATAAAAACATCACAATAATCCACAAGTAATCCTCACAACTCCAGTCCATCAGTTAACATCTTGTGAAGAGATAAGCTGCAAGTTTGTAATAAACAAATCCATCACGAAGATGTTATAACTTACCTAGTCGTCTATCCATAAAATTTGGAAAAAGTCATCTTGTCTGAATCAGAAGAGAAATATGTACAGATCGAACACCGTTTATAAGTGAAAACAGTCCAAAACAGTTCTAAACAAATATGTTGGTAGGTTTTGTTCTGAGAGGACAACAGGGGATGTATGTTTATTGGAGGAGGATATTATTATGGATTATGGGCTCTGGATTGTGGAGTATTTTGGCCAAAAGCAACAGCTTAAAGTTAAAATGTCTTGATGTATTTGTTTCTTATAAATACTTCACAGCAGAAGATCCATTGGTGAGCAAGTGATGTAATGCTAAATTTCTCTAAATCATCTACATCTTGGATGGCCTGATAGTGAGTAAATATTCAGCAAATATTAATTTTTGGGTGAACTATTCCTTTAATATAAATTTGATTTTTATTTTATATTTTCACATAATCATATAGAATGGAAAAGGGCGGGATCCCACAAAATATCTGCAATGACATTAGGATAAATGTAATTTCAAGAAGAATATTTCTCCAGTCAAATCTATTATATTGCATACTGAAAAAAAAAACGTAGCCCCAAGTGTTGTACAATAAAATCAGACAGACACCACAATAATACTTATATAGGTCATAAATCATAAAAATAGTCAAGGTCAAAAGGTCAGTAAAGTCTGTAAACTACATTTTGGAAAATAATTGTCGGTGGTCGGTGTCAAATTTTGGCATCAAAACTTTTGCAAGAAAATCCAAAGGCACTCCATTCAGCATGTTTAGCTTTGCATATGTTATAGTTTACAAGGCAGTTTTCAAAGCCAGTTTTAGTAGAGACTTTGGCCTTTTAAAAGTGTCTAAATTCCTACTTCTTGTTGACCTTTATGAGTCTTTATCTTTTCCCTTTTCCTTTTTCTTTTTGAATGGCCTTTTAAAATTCCTACTTCTTGTTGACCTTTATGAGTCTTTATCTTTCCCCTTTTCCTTTTTCTTTTTTTTCTTTTTGTTTTCCTGTTTCCACATAAATCGATTTAAACTCCCCTATTGAATTGTTAGTTTTAAAAAACAGTATCAGCGGGTTAAAAATTTAACCTCAAATGCAATTGATTATTATAATATATATAGATTATTATTATAATAATAATAATTAAGTCATTATAGCTATATATTAACACACACACATTTAAAAAAAAAAAAAACTGTAACAACCACTGGAAACATTTGTGGTTAAAAAACATAAAAGCATGATTTACCACTTACAAGAACCCGTGAACAGCATCAAATCATCAAAAGATTCTGGAAAACACCCTTTCTGATAGATCAAACATTTCTAAAATTGGTAAGAAAAATGCAGACAAACTAGAGAGTTTCATGACACTAAATAATTAATGCTACCAGCCAACAAGGTGGTTGGTCATTCAAAATAATGACATAAAAAAAATGTAATTTAGATGTTGTGTCAAAACTTCCACTGATCAAGATGAGACCATTTTAACTACATATCTCTGGAAACAAAAATAGGTCTAGGGGTGTGTTTGCGAATGTCTTATTTTTTATTTGCTATTGCTTCAGGTCATATGGTTGAAACATTTTCAATATTATTCTTTATCTAAAATATTCACAGACATTTGTTGTCATTAATCATGCAAAGTTTGGCAAATCCAGACACTAATTTTGCCTCAAAAGTGTTCACTGTATCAGCCTGGTTATTTTCAAAGTGATAAAGATCTGTAAACCCCTGACTGCTGGAATGTACATTTCCAGCAATGTTAACCAATTTGATTAAAGGAATAGTTCACCCAAAAAAGAACATTTCCTGACAGTGTACTCATCCTCAGGCCATCCAAGATAGGGATAAGCTTGTTTATTCTGAAGAGATTCACTTGCTCAGCAATGGATCCTCTGCAGTGAATGGGTGCTGTCAGACAGAGAGTTCAAACAGCTGATAAAAACATCACAATAATCCACAAGTAATCCTCACAACTCCAGTCCATCAGTTAACATCTTGTGAAGAGATAAGCTGCAAGTTTGTAATAAACAAATCCATCACGAAGATGTTATAACTTACCTAGTCGTCTATCCATAAAATTTGGAAAAAGTCATCTTGTCTGAATCAGAAGAGAAATATGTACAGATCGAACACCGTTTATAAGTGAAAACAGTCCAAAACAGTTCTAAACAAATATGTTGGTAGGTTTTGTTCTGAGAGGACAACAGGGGATGTATGTTTATTGGAGGAGGATATTATTATGGATTATGGGCTCTGGATTGTGGAGTATTTTGGCCAAAAGCAACAGCTTAAAGTTAAAATGTCTTGATGTATTTGTTTCTTATAAATACTTCACAGCAGAAGATCCATTGGTGAGCAAGTGATGTAATGCTAAATTTCTCTAAATCATCTACATCTTGGATGGCCTGATAGTGAGTAAATATTCAGCAAATTTTAATTTTTGGGTGAACTATTCCTTTAATATAAATTTGATTTTTATTTTATATTTTCACATAATCATATAGAATGGAAAAGGGCGGGATCCCACAAAATATCTGCAATGACATTAGGATAAATGTAATTTCAAGAAGAATATTTCTCCAGTCAAATCTATTATATTGCATACTGAAAAAAAAAACGTAGCCCCAAGTGTTGTACAATAAAATCAGACAGACACCACAATAATACTTATATAGGTCATAAAAATCTGTGCAAGTCAAGGTCAAAAGGTCAGTAAAGTCTGTAAACTACATTTTGGAAAATAATTGTCGGTGTTTGATGCCAAATTTTGGCATCAAAACTTTTGCAAGAAAATCCAAAGGCACTCCATTCAGCATGTTTAGCTTTGCATATGTTATAGTTTACAAGGCAGTTTTCAAAGCCAGTTTTAGTAGAGACTTTGGCCTTTTAAAAGTGTCTAAATTCCTACTTCTTGTTGACCTTTATGAGTCTTTATCTTTTCCCTTTTCCTTTTTCTTTTTGAATATATTCTTGAGCTTTGAAGATTTCTTGCCCTTGTCTTTACCGCCAGATTCTGAAGAAGATGAATTTGCAGATTGACCTTCATTTCCTAAAAGGCTTTGGGAAGAGGAAGACACTGAAGCTGCATGACTGAGATCCCCAGGACTAGGCATGAGAGGGTTCTCATAGGACTTTTCTAGAATGCCGTCATACACTAGTGTGCTGAGCGAGTCTGAGGCTGGTTTCCAGTGCATCAGGGAACTAACGGTGAGGTCAGGTGGGCCAAACTGTCCTGGGTTTGTAACCAGAAACTCCTCCTGCGATATCTTGCGCCTTGGAGCCTCCACAGATAGACCCACCATCTCTCTTTGTATTTTACCAATGGGAGTTTCCACAGAGCTGTCTATCTTGCGTTGTATTCGTTGTGTCTCCATTGCGACTTCTTGCTCATCTCGAGAGATTTTTTTTGAGGGAATTTCCATGCGGATATCCCTGTTCTCTTTAAAGGACTTGCTTCTCTCGAACTCATCTTTCAGTGTGTTCCTTGAATCCATGGAAATATCTCTTATTTTTAGTCTTTCAAAATCCTTGGGCACATCAAATTCATCTTGTGCCATCATTCGTGAAGGGATGTCTTTGGTTGAATCTGTTTTGCCTAACATCTTACATTTTTTAGAGCTTTCCACTGAACTATCAAAGGTGGCATCAAAGGAGTTTTCCCTAAACACTCTTCCTCGCTGGATATTGGTTGGAAAATCCCGGTTTTCTTTGTGTTTAATGGAAGTGTTCAAGGCATCTGCATATCTAGTTCCACTTGTGGTCTCTATATCAAGTTCTGCTTTTGGTATCACTCTAGAAATGCTGTCCATATGATCTTTTCTGTCTCTGAGTGATCGTCGTCTCTGACTATCCATGCTGATCGCTGCTGGAGACATCTTCTCTGTAGAGTAGTACCTCATTGTGGAATCGAAAGGTAGATCCCTGGGTAATTTCCTTGAGTCAACGCTGGCCTCAGTTTCTCCTCTACTCAGTTGTTTAGGAGGGTCCACAGAGGCCTCTAGTTCATCTCTAGATGTCTTTCTTGATGGAGTATTAATGTCCAGTTCATCTCGTGAAACTTTCCTTGAGGTGTTGTTCACTATCAAAGACTCGTCCATCTCCTCCTCCGAGATTTTGCGTGAGGGACTGTCGTCTTGTTCATCCAGGGAGATCTTTCGGGGCATTTTATCAGAGAAAATATATTTTCTCCGAGATGGGACATCAAGGGTGCTGTACATTCTGCTGATGGAGGACCCGATAGAATCTGTATCTGAAGATGTTTCCATAGACTCCCTATCAGAGAGATGGACACTCAGCAAATGTTCGTCCAAAAAAGATATTCATAAATAAGCATTAACCTGGGTTAATAAATGCTCTAAAAATTGTTGGTTATTATTAGTTCATAATACCTAATGCATTAGCTAATATTAATGAATTGAACTTTATTGTAAAGTATTTTTAAGAATCTCTGAGCTGCTCTTTTCTATGCAATGCAAAATCAAAGGACAAAATGCCTGGCTGACATACTGTTTCACAAGAGGGGAGAATTTGATATGCTCTTCTTCTTCATCTCCATATCGGCGTAGTGGAGTTCGTATGGGAATAAGGAGGTCTGGGTCAGGTGATACGATGACAGGTGATGGCACAATATGCCCAGATCGGCGAGAGCGAACCAGAGACCGTGGAGAACATTTCAGAGGTGCAACTGTGACTGAAAAGTAAAATATATTAATAATTAATGCCTGTTTCAATAATCTAACATTGAGTTATCTAATTGAAATTACTTAAAGGGATAGTTCACCCAAAATGAAAATTCTGTCATTAATTACTCACCCTTAATTACTTGTTCCAAACCCATAAGACCTTCGTTCAATTTCGGAACACAAATTAAGATATTTTTGCTTTCTGACCCTGTATAGACAGCAAGGGAACTACCATGTTCAAGGCCCAGAAAGCTAGTAAGGACATCGTTAAAATAGTCCATGTGATATCAGTGGTTCAACCTTCATTTTATGAAGCTACGAAAATACTTTTTGTGCGCAAAGAAAACACAAATAATGACTTTTATTCAACAATTTCTCCTCTTCTGGTCTCCTCCACCATTCATGAGAGTACCACGACGCAGGATCAGAAAGCTCTCGGATTTCATCAAAAATATCTTAATTTGTGTTCCGAAGAGGAACGAAGGTCTTATGGGTTTGAAACAACATGAGGGTGAGTAATTAATGACAGAATTTTCATTTTTGGGTAAACTAACCCTTTAAAAGTGCTATAATGTGTTGTAAGCTATTTTTTCCATACCATGCATAAAATGTCCTGATTGATATTCAATTGAAATCTGATTGGCTGACATTTTAATCTCACTTTGTCAAATTTATATAAAAACAGAAGAAATAAAACACATTTAACTAAGAAAGAAAAAACACAAAAGTACCAACCAGGAATCTGTGGTATAATCTGGGGTATTTCTTCCTCCATGTCCTCCACCGAAACAGGCGCTTGATAGGATTGCATTGCAGACCGGGGCATTAGCATCCAGTTGGGGTCTGGGTAGAGTGTAGCAGTGAGACTGGGCAGGCCCGCGTTTTTCATCACAGGAAAACCACACAAGCTCTCAATCTGCTGCCAGCGGTGCAAACGCTCCCGTAGACAAGCAGTCACCTCTGCTAATGCATTCCTTTAACAAAATACATACAGTATGCAGGTCACTGTAAGCCCAAACTAAGTCTACTCATTATTCAGATGTTTTCTTGAAATTTGAAATTTAGCATAGATAAACTAGCCCCAAAAAATTGTTTGGGACCCATATTGAAAAAAATTATGAAAGATATTTCCTTGCATTATTTATTCAGAGTGTCTTAAGTTTAAAATAAGAATAAACAAATTACTTTGCCTCCATAATTCTCTGATCCACTTGATCCAATGAGGAGCTATGTGCGACATGTAGCGTACCAAACACAGAATTCCTTTTTTTCTTGATCTTCTCAGCCTGTGCAAAAATACAAAGTGATTGAATAATACAATTCTAATTAAAACTAACTCAAGCTCAGGCCATCCAAGATGTAGATGAGTTTGTTTTGTCATCTGAACAGATTTAGAGAAATTTAGCATTACATCACTTGCTCACCAATGAATCCTCTGCAGTGAATGGGTGCCGTCAGAATGAGAGTTCAAACAGCTGATAAAAACATCATAATAATCACCCCAGTCTGTCAATGGGGGTCTAATGCTATTTCATGCATTCTGAGTTATTTACAGTGGGTACGGAAAGTATTCAGACCCCCTTAAATTTTTCACTCTTTGTTATATTGCAGCCATTTGCTAAAATCATTTGTTAATTTTTTTTCCTCATTAATGTACACACAGCACCCCATATTGACAGAAAAACACAGAATCGTTGACATTTTTGCAGATTTATTTGAGGAAAAAAAATTAACTTAAATGATTTTAGCAAATGGCTGCAATATAACAAAGAGTGAAAAATTTAAGGGGGTCTGAATACTTTCCGTACCCACTGTACATTGTTAAAGTTTCAAAAAACGATTTGGACGTATGATGGATTATTTCTATGTCAAATACACTCCTTCCGGGTTTGTACAAGTTTCGGAAAGTGTTTTTTTTTTCTTCGATCATGTCTCTTCATGATTGTACAAGTTTCGGAAAAAAAAATTTCTGACGTCATGAAGGGTGGAATTCCTTGTATGGGCACTTCTTCCAGAAGAGCGGGTGCACACGTCAACCAGAGTGAGAGCAAGAGCACGCCCATCAGCGCGCTTCATTTGGCAGCGCTGCACAGGACTTGCTTGAGAAAAATGTCTCCAAAGAAGTGTGTCTTTGGTTGTGAGGTAAAGATAACCCCTTGTTCAGCTTCCCAAAGAACCCAGCATTACGGGAACATTGGATGCAGTTTGTTTTTCCAGGGCAGCAACAGAGTTTCACAAGTGTGTTTGTTTGTTCCCATCATTTCAGTGACTAATGTTTTATAAACAAGGCCCAGTTCGACGCTGGATTTGCACATCGTTTGATACTGAAAGATAGAGCATTCCCAGCGATAAAAGATCCCAGTCATGATTCGGAACTGCAGAAGGCAAGTAAAATTGCATCAAATTTCTGTGTTTTGTTAGCAATCGACACACAAGTGCTTGTAACTCTTTAGCTTCGCCCACAGCAGGCCTCCAGAAGCAGGAAGCAATGGTTTTAAGTTAAAAATGTGTTAATGATGGATTTGTTAATTGATGGACTTGGGTCGTGGGTTTACGTGGGATTACTTGTGGATATTGTGATTCTTTTATCATCTGTTTGAGCTCTCATTCTGATTGCACCCATTCACTACAAAGGATCCATTGGTGAGCAAGTGATGTAATGTTAAAATTCTCTGAATGAATTCCGATGAAGAAACAAACTTATCTACATCTTGGATGGCCTGTGGGGTGAGTAAATTTTCAGCAAATTCTCGTCTTTGGGTGAACAATTCCTTTAATTCAAAAGGCAAAACAATTGAAACCTGAAAATATGAATCACTGTGTATTTGATTCTATGCATGATAATACATTTGAGAGTCATTAATCTCTAAAATACCTCATCTTTAGCCGTGGCTAGTTGTTGTTCTGCACTTTGCTTCTTGACGTTGTAGTACTGGACCTCTACCTCATGGGTGAGCTGTAGCCACAGCTGCAAAGATTCAGGGACTGACCAGAGGTACTGCATGTCTTTCTCGGCCCTCTTCAATGCATCACGCACCTGTACAAGGAGCCCAGAGAATCATGGGGTTTTGTGGAGTCTTGTTAGTATATGTTAACACTGAGAAGTGCAGATCCTTACCTGTTCAAGCTCTTCTTCTGCATACCAAAGCCGGGTGAGTTCACTCACTGCTCCATCTCGGAGTTTGTGCAGGCGGTTGGCCTCTTCCTGAGCACCCTGAATCTCATCTCTCATCTTTTCCTCTAGATTCTTCTTCTCTACTGCCACTGTGCGCTTCTCTTCTTGGGCCTTTTCCAACCTTTTAAAAATTCAAAATGCAGCGTTTATGCTGCAAGATCCTGAAAAAATGCTCTTCAATGTCACTCTCTCATGTATGATGTGTTGGAAAGTCTAATTTTAGTGAATTGATTCCTAATAATTTAAATGAACTAGTTTAAAAGCTAATTATATATTTTAAATATATAATCGCATTTTTTTTGTTTAGGGAGGTTATTATTTTAGGACATTATTTTAGTGCCAGATATTTTTTGTTAATTAAAAAAACACTGTATTTTACACTACTGATCAAATGTTTGGGGTTGGTAACATTTTTAATAAGACCACCAGTAAAACTACTACTGGATTACTGAATTCTGAAAAATTATAAATTGTGACTTGTTGAATCAAGTACAAATCTCAATCTGACCTAATGACATCATTATCACATGGCACAGATGATTGGTTCTCTCCTGTATCGGTAGCCAATGAGCTCGCTGCTCAACATTCAAATATACGACTAGTGTTTGCTGTAGCAGTTGCAGCTTGCTTCAGAACAGCGAAATCAACATCTAAGATAAGTGAATGCTTTTCTAATCCATATCGCTGTGTGTATTGCGTGGTCTACCTAATTTAATTAAAAAATGAGCAACCATAGTCAAGTTTAAACTAAGTGTCATGTTAGCAGTTTGCAATGTATGCAGGAGCGAAATTTTAAGCACATTAGCAGCAGCAGCATTTAGCATCTGTGTTTATACAGCTGGAGCAAAACGCAGTTTAGAGCATATATAATCGCTCTGAGGGACACGCGATAGTAACGGACATGAAACAGGTTAAATGAAATAAGCATTCTTGTGCATGCATTTCAACAGGGGTTTGCCATATACATCAGCGATTATCCCAGTGTTCACGTTAGTTATTTCTAAGGTTGATGTTTTCATTGGGATGAGTGTGTGGTTGATTTCAGCTGCACGCGCTTATAGCAGTCATATCAATGACAGTGTTGCGTGAGACGCTGAAGATCACTATCTATAGCTGTTATAGTCCCGAGTGAAATGCATTATAGGTAGTTTAGATAAATGTGCTCGTGTGACGTGTGCTCTCGCTGTGCTGTGTAATTCAGAAAACGGAGAAAGAACTTTTATATTCTGCGTTTATTTCAGTTCATTCAGGTCAGTCCACCCAGGGGTTTTTGTGCACTGTAACTCTGACAATTTTTATCTGCAGTTTTCAAATTTATTATATTTGCTCAGGTGGGTGCTGGGGTCTTATCTATCTATGGGGGGGGGGAGAGATGAGAGATGAGAAATACAGAGTTCTGGCATGAAACTCTAGATGGCGCAGTCCGATAGGTCTAACTCAATCTGACCTAATGACATCATTATGACATGGCACAGCTGATTGGTTCTCTCCTGTATCGGTAGCCAATGAGCTCGCTGCTCAACATTCAAATATATGAC